ACTAAAGAAAAATGTTTTATTTTTTATTTTTCAGTTCCGCAAGCTCGGAAAGCATCGTTGGCTCGGTTCTTGGAGAAGCGCAAAGAGAGGTTTGATTCGTCTTTTCTTTCTAGAATCTTGAGTTCTTTGGTTTAGTAAGAAATTGAATCTAAAAGAAATTGACGTTTGTGCAGGCTCTTGAGTGCAATGCCATACAAGAAAATGCTTCTTGATTTGTCGACCGGAGAATCCAGTGGAATGAATTACTCTTCTACTTCTCCTACCTAAAACCTTTCTTCTTCTTCTCCTTTTTAAACCGGTATGAGGTTTTTTACGATGGTAATTTATAAATTTTAATCATAGGATTATGATTATAGCTACCATTTTATTATGATAGATAGTAGACGTCTCTGTCTGTATTTGAGCACTCTTGTAATGGGTTTCTTTATGACCTTATAAGCACTAACAGTTGTATGTTTGTCAAGAAATTAAGAACGAATACAAGCCACTATTGTTATTACTTAATTAATTATTGTGCAAAAAACCTAAGAAGATGTTTTCATTAACCCAAACAAGAAACAAAAATAGATATTTTCACAAGGAAACATGTATGCTTTATTCATGTACTAAAAGAAGAGGATTGTGTTACGTAGCTTCAAGGTTTTGACTTTTGATTACGAAATATAGATTCTCTTCACAATGGAAAAATCTGTTCAGATATATTTAGTTATCGAGGCAGAGAGATTATCGAATTAAAGTTTGGTAAGGAAGACATAAAAAGCTCTCAAACCTCTAAATTCATCACAAAAAACACGTTCGAGTTTATGAGTGGACAAGAACGATCTTGGTCTTATCATTTTGAATATGTGTATATCATTTACTCTTCGTGTCCTCTCATGTCCCTACCAAGTTGTGCAACTTGAACTACCATTTCATTATTCACATGTTTATTGTTTGGGCTAATTTTAGTCGGTTTGTGTTTAGATTGTTTCACTGATGTATTTATGGTCCCCAAACATTCATAAGCTTATATACATCTCATTTATTCCCCATTAAAAAAAAAGTACTATTCGTCATTTTTGTGTAACTCCATTTACATCTCTTCCACTCCATTTTAGTTGTAGAAAAAAAATATTTTTACTAGTCATATACATTTTTAAAATCAGGAGATTTCGAGTGAGTACCGACTAATATTTCAGGGTGATTGTAACCGTCGATAATCATTTCACCGGATTTTTGAATTGTATAAAAGATATGGCTGGTTGACCATATTCTACATTCTTATGTGCAAAACCAATATATAGCTATATCGTAAATAAATTCGTTTATTTATTGTATGAGTCTTTTTGTTTTTAATTAGCATAGATTTTATACGGTGTTTTTATAAAAACCATGTAATCTTACTCGATAATAACATGCTATTTTACATATTATCACCCTATCTTTTTTAAAGCATGTCCAAACAAAAAAATACACCATTATTTAGAGTTTGTTGCTACATTTTCTTTTGCCAAGTTTAATTAAAAAAATTTGACCATCTAGCAACTGAACCAAAATGGACCGTGCACTGGTAGTGTGTGGACCGTGCACTGGTAGTGTGTGCTACTGTTTTCTATGAACATCCATCGTTAAAGTTTTGTTGGTGACATTTGAAAGAAGTAGTTGTAGTGGTGGCACAAACACTGGAGTGATTTAACGCTATAAAGCTTTGTTGTACGAAAATATAGCTCTCCCTTTACTCAAATATTTTAATTTCTTTTTGTTTCGTCACGAACCAAAATATATATTTTTTTTTTGCTAAATGTCACGAACCAAAATATAAACTAAACTAGTATTATCTCTAAGAGCATGTTTATTCATAAACTTTCATGGGTAAAATTAACATTTTTTAGT